CTGGTGCCTGAAATCAAGTATTCACTGCAAGGGGCAGAAGGCATTCAGAAATGATGCACTGAGAAATCATTCCTCAATTGCTCAAAAACAGAGGGCTATTTACAGTAACAAAGAGCGGAGCTATTTTTTTAAAGCACCTCCCAGATTTAATTTCCAACCTTTTATCGCTGGACATCTGGTCAGCCTGGATTTGCTTTACTGCATGCAAATAATGGCCTCAGAAGAGTTTATTTCCCATGCACTCTCACTCTGTGACATTGTTTAAAGCCAAAATTACACTTAACAAGAGATGCTTGTCCAGCGGAAATTCTCCAACAAATATTCAAAGAGTGACACGTTATTAATTTGCTGATGAATTACCCTACAGGACTCAAGCCACATACCTCCCTTATGAAAGTATATTCTTGACTTGGCATGGATATTACTTGAACCTGCCACAAGTCCAATCTGGAAGTACCATTTGATTATTCTGTTAAAATACATGGAATGGTTGCCAACTTTTCTGTCTTATTTAATTAAAACACATATACTGGTCTCTAGAAAACACAGGTGAGTACCCCTTAGCCTAGGGGCTGTATGTCCTCCCCTAGTGCTTCCTGAAGCAACTGCATCCATCTACCCATCAGAGCTCCTTCCTTTCCAGTTGTTTCCTTAATCTTCCTGCTTTAAAAATGTTTCCCCCTCTTTCAAGTGGGGGGAGAATACAAGTGCAGACCCAGGCAGCAAGAATAGCAGATAAAAAGACCAGTACCAGAAAAGTATCTATCAAAAGGAATTTGGAATTAAAAAAAAAGTATCCAAAACCCATTTAAAAACCTTCAAAATAGAGGACATACAACATGATCTAGGAAGGGAATTCCATAGGTATTGGGCCATCATTGAAACTGAAGGGAGAGAACAAAATATAGTAGTATTTTATGAGCTCATTGGAGAAAGTGCAGTATAAAAATCTAACAATAATATATTTTGCTTTTACAAGATAATGAAGTCATAGGTACCTTTGAGATTTATCTGATAATGTTTGTGTCATTTATTTATGATTGGCCCTGGTGGAGGATGGTGCTCAAAAAGGATTTTTTTAGCTTTGCTAAATCCTTTTGCAAGTTTTTATGGCTTTCTTCTTTTGCACTATTCCTGGCTGCTTTGGGAATAACTTTGGTTTGGATTTTTTCAGTGAGCCAGCTCTCAAATTCCTTTCTTCGCCACCTGTCTGTCAATTTCTGCAAGTGAGCCAGACCAAAAGCTCCTGCCTGTGACAAACCCAACATATAAAGTCATGCGCTTGTGTGGACCTTTCCCAAAGGCCAACAAGGTCACGGATCTTGTGCTTCATTTTTGTGGCTGACATGGAATTGATTTACTAATAGTACTCATGTAGGACTTTGTGAGTACTCAAGCACATTACATGCATGCTGAGAATAATTTTTATGGCTCTGTAAGGGAAATCAGTATTATTAATATTAACCCCATTTTGAAGATGGGGAGAAGAGACTGAGAAATAAGTGGCTTGTCAAAGATCACCCAATAACTCCATGGCTGTTCTGACATTTGAATAGGGGCATGCAAGGCTCATGTTCTTAATCACTATGTTCAATCCTTTGCTCTTAAGAAACTGATAGGCAATCAACATCTCTGTAAACAAGCAGTATGTTTTGAAAGACTGAGAGCCTCTTTTTGTATTCCTCTGCTCTCTCATTTAATTTTGTTTTGCAGCCAGCTGAACAGACACCAGCATCTATAAAAAGACTGACAGAGCACAAAATAAGGCCTTTCTTCATGAACCACACACTTTTGTCAACTTCTGTTCATCAGTTTATTTCAGGGGCTACTCAGCTAATTGTCTTCCTATACATCGAAGGAACATCCAGCCTTCTCCCAGCAAAAAAGGATCGGTGGGGTAGAAATAATAAATTATTATTATTGCTATTATATAAAGAGAAACACTCAGCAATACATCCTGGAATAAGAATAATACAAGGACAGGCTGACATATCAAACAGTCCCCATTTTAGCACTGTCATAATCAGCCTGCAAAGAAATCACCCTCATTTGATGCCAAGAGCAAATTGTATGATTTAAAACATGTTTTGATCCTACCACTGATCATTGGTGGTAAGAATATGTTGTTGCTTATTGGATGTTCAGCTATCACACTTGCTCGTTAATAAAGTGGAAAGATAGCAGAGGATTTTGGGGTTTATTTAAGTCTGGCAGATCTAGGACTAGATGTACACAAGAGGATGGACTTCAGATTTATGTGAAAGCAAACTATTCAGCAATTTTCCCTCCCTCTTTAAGATGTGAGATTTGTCTTGTTTTGCTTTCAGTAGGACCCTCTCCAAGGCATAAAGAGAAGAGGAAAATCACAGAATATTCGCCAACATTCTGTTGCTATCCAAAAGCATGTCATAAAGACAGGCAGTGAGATATATTGCAATGTATCTCCCTTCCAATGGAGTTCATGTGAGTGGAGGCCAGGACTTCCACGTCAGGAAGAATGAGCAAGTTTTGCAGGCACTATAATGCTGAGCCCAAATGCAGCACTTTCTTCTTAGCATGTGATCAAAGAGCAGAACTCAAGGCCAACTTTGAAGTGAAAATCTGTCCCCTGGCTCTTCCTCCTCCCCTGCAACTACATCCAGAATCACAATCCATTTATTTAGAAGAGAAAAAGCCTGGAAGGCATTTTCTTGGGCTTCCATGGTAATGGATTTCTAATCTCACTACATGACTCTTCCCCTTTGCTGAGGTGTTCATTGGATTCCTTCTTCTGGCGTTATGCAGCTTTCTCACTTCAGCTGTTAAATATTCGAAAGAACCGGAGAAGGTAATGCATGATCTGGCTCTAGGACCAAGGTGGGAAATGTTATGTAATAGGTCAAACATGCCAATCCAATCCTTGCTGAACACCGTCAAGAAAATGGAACCTCACATAGCAAGAATTTGATATTATGAACTAAGAAGATCACCTGCTTTCAACTGATCTTCTTTACTCATAGCGTGTGACATGTTAGCTTCATTTACAAATTCCTTCCCATGTTTAGACAAACCTGGGCTGGGGGGGTTATATTTAATCATAGGAGACTGCTTTTAATTCTCCTTTCAAGAGACTCATCATGCATTAATCATGGCAACTGCCATTCTTTTCTGAGAGAGCCAGCTACATTTTTAAAAAACCGTACTGTAAAAAAAATGAAAACCAGCAAAAGAAGGGTTGTGTTGTTGTTTTTGCAATATTTCCAAATGCAACAGGTGCTGCTGAAAATTTGTTGAACTAACCTTGAATGGTGTTTACAACAAGAGTGGGGAACCATTTTAAATCTGAGGGCCACATTCATTCACTGACAGATTTAAGGTAAGGTTACCAGATGTCCCTGTTTTCCGGGGATGGTCCCCAGATTTACAAATCAGTCCCCATACCAAATCCATTGCAGTTGAAAAGTGTCCCCGGATTCATTGAAAGAAATCTGGTAACCTTAATTTAAGGGTGCCACATTCCAATAGTGGACAGGGACATAGTACACTATTTTTTTCTATAGTAGGCTATGTTTCAACTATGCAAAAGCCAGAAGGTTCTGCACATGCACATCGCTCTCTATCTTCCACCCAGGCAAGCAAGAGGCATTATTAAGAGTGAAAGAGCACCTTCCAGTCAGGGAAAAAGCATTTGAGAAGAGTGTGGAGCAGGCAAGTGGGAAATGTGGCCTGAGGAGGGGGAAGGCCTGGGAAGAATCGTGAAGGATTGATAGATTTAGCAGGCCACCTTCAGCACCCAGGCCTGAGGTTCCCTATGACAACACAACATATATTAGCAGAATGCCATTCTGTTGAATTAACTGGCTACAAATAAGACCAACCCTCTCACTTCCATCTCCCGCCAGGCTCTCACTTGTTTCACAAATTCACAGACTCACCCCCTCTTTTCCTGCTTCAGCATTAATCCATCTCTGGAGGGCCCAGACATGCCCTAGTGAAAACCATTAGGGAGATACTGGTTTGTCCAAAGTCAACTTTGCACATGCATGGGCAGTTGCTGACAACTGCTTCTTCAAGAGACCCTATATATTTTGGAAAGGGGTGTCTCAAATCAAACTCCATCAAAAGCATGCATATAATTCTACAGCCACTTCTCTAACAACACTGCTAATCTTTCAGCAATTTTCGCAAAGCAGATTACTTATTCATTCAAATGCAATGCACTTGAGTAGCTGCCACTCTCCGTGAATGCCTGACAGCTCTGCGTGCACAATGACAGTGTTCTTTTGCATTCTTCTGTACATAATTTGCTGGGTGTGTGTTACTGGTGCATCTCCTGCAGTAGTTTTTTGTGTAGGTTTCTTTCTTCCTTTAAAAAACAACAACGCAATAACAGTATCCCAACAGAAATGACAGGTGCTGAACAAAAGACTGCCAAGAGAGATGACGATCACAAAGGCTGCACTTCCTCCAACACATCATTTATTTCCTCATTTAAATTTATACAGTTACTTATCTTGTAAACCAAGCCTGAACAACTTGCGATGCAACGTACTGAATGCAGCTCACCAGCCATGTATGATGGCCTATCAAGGTTCGAAAAACTCATGGCCTTCCAAAAAACAGGGATTGATGAAGTAGCTGACAGGCCATTCTCAGGAGCACCTGGTAGAGAAGGGCAGAGTTCTGAACCTGGCCTCCCAAGGAGAGGCTTTAGTGAGCAGGTGAGGCAGCATAGTTGCAAGGTTGCAACAGTTCAGATTGGCAGAGCCAATCTGGTGCTCCCGCCAGCATACTCTAACTTTCCTGACCTCGCTGTCACCCCTCACCACCCCAGTATGCAGTACTGACATTTGCTAGTCCTTTAGACCCAAAACATTTATTTTTAAGTTGCAGCCCTGGACATTCCTTCCATCTCAAATCACTCTTGAACCCTCAGGAGGAATAAAGGCCAAAATAAATAAATAAATAAATAAATAAATAAAGTTGAGCAAAAATGTGGAGCTACTTTGGGATGAACTTACAGGAAGAATGGATACTTGGAAAGCTTTTCCTGCCTTCGGAGACCACATCTGGATCACCTGTGCAGTCCATGTTAGACTTCATGTCTCCATCTGGAAAGCAGCGGTAAAAGAAATCGGGACGAGGTCTGCAAGGAACACCATGGACATTTGAAACGAAAGAGCAGCCATTAGTAAAACCTCAAAGTGATAATTACATTAAACTGACTGTTTACATTGAGGGAGTTCATTTCTTCCTGTGTTCTGTTGCGCAAGGGTACTGCATGAAATCAATTTACTTGGTGATTTAATCTAGAGTGCTCTGGCCATGAAAGTTGTTAGGAATTCTAACAGCCTACTACATAGTGTTGGTAAAGAAATAGATGAGCCTCAGAGTGCAGAGCAGTTTCTTTAGAAAATTAACTGGATAGTTCAGTTTTAAAGTACATTTGAAGGGGTTAAGACCATAGAGTAAGCTGTCCTGCCAGGCTTTGCTAGGTCACAACTTCTCACCTTGGGAGGAAGAGTTACTTACTAAACACTTTGTTTTCTCTCTTTCCACCATGTGAACCCTACCGGTAAGGAAGTCTAAACTAGATCATCCAAGCTTAGACAGTGTGGCTTAAGCAAACCATCTTTGTGTTTTTATACAAATGATTTAGAAGCATTTACAACTTTTGGAACCTAAGTAAAGCTGCATGTCTTTTCTTGCTGCTGTATGGAGTAGCACCTGAATCTGACCTTTGAAGAGTTTATAAGTAAATCATTTCTAACTTACCAAACGTGTGGTCTCTTTCTATGCTAAGGGAAGCGGAGAACTTTGGAAGCAATTTAGAATGTGATATTTTAAAGGTCTTATATTTCCACACTTTATTTTGTTGCATGTTTTGTTATTTTAAATCTCTGCTGGGGTTCTCACCAGAGAGTACTTGCCCCAAACCTGGATCTAGGCATCCAGGGAATTCACCTTTTATTCTATCATATCTATTTTCCCTTTTACCAAACCAACACAGACATTGCCAGACTTCAGCTTTCATTACCCTCATCCAGCATGACCAGCAGTCAGGAATGAGAAAGCTGTAGTCCAACATCATCTCTGGGGCCCTCAGTTTCTTCATCTCTGAAAAACCCAGAACTGTGTGTGAGGGGGAAATGGAGAAAATTGTGGTATGGGCCCATATGTCATGCACAAAGCACAACTAAATTCCAGATTATTATAAGTCTTTCTTTTAAGGCTGACAGAGATTTCAGCTGATGAAACAAAGCTAAAAGAGAGAGACAGACTGGTGTGAACCTAAAAATTATTATGGATCCCTCCCCTCCCCAAAAAATTCACTATTTTATAAGAGACACCAGAGAAAGCTGAATATGTAAACAACAATTTATAGAAACAGTACGTATCTCACAGACACAAGAATGAAGAAACATTAAGGCAGGGGGAAACTGTTCATAAATATTAAAGCTCTTCAGCAAGCTAAGCTTTTATCTGCCCAACTCCTAATGAATCACTGGAGTGCACATTATCAAAATTCATGGGCAGAGAAGTGGTGAAAAAAACACCACACCCTCCTATTGCTCATGATGTTGACAAACTGATGCAAAACCATGGGTGAATGTCATGGGTCTTCCCAGCCCGCTGGCCACCACATCCCTGATCCATTCAAACTGAGTAACCCTGAGAAGCTAATGTAAGGAAAACAAACTAAGCCTATGCTTTCCAAGTGATGCCCCATTTTCACACACCAGAGAGAAGGAAGAGAGTAAGATTCCATTAAAACAAAGATGAGGAACCTATGGCCCTGGTCAGTGGTGAGGCCTATTGGGAGTTGTAGTCCAGCATTATCTAGAGCTGCTTTCTACAAGTGGTGTCCTCCAGATATTTTAGACTACAGCTCCCACCATCCCTGACCACTGGCCATGCTGATGGAGTTGTGGTCCAAAAAAGTCTAGAGGCACATCAGGTTGGAGAAGGTGGATCTAGACAGCCAAGGTTCCCCAACGCTGAGTTAAGATATATTGCTGCAGCAAGTGTTGAATGAAAATTAACTGGGATGGAGGGAGCGGGAGAGGCACAGAGCTTGACATCAGGCCCTCTATCTGACATTATACATAACAAGAATCCCAAAAGGCCTTTTGGGGATTATGCGTAATGACAAGAGAATATACAAAATTCAGTTGATTAATGCATATTTCCCTGTTTAAAATTTTGCATATTGACCAAGCAATGTGCCACAATTCCCTCTGCACATTCTCTGTGAGGCAGTTGTTAACTATTCAAATTACATTCCCCTTAATCATCATTTAAGTGACACTTCCTCTTTGACCTTTTATGTTCTTGCTACTAGTTATTCTGCAAAAAAAGCCTAATGCTCTTCTAGGAAGAAATCTAACTATGTCCAGTCCATTCCACAGTAACTTTCCATAATCTTTCAATGTGGCTTTGAGCTTGTTGCTGAAACTTATTTTCATGAGATTTTATTTTCAAGGACTATAAAATGCGGGGGTGGGGGGGTGGAACTCTGGCTGCCAGATTTTTTTTTATAGCTTCTATCTTAATATCTGCACCTCCAAAAAAGTGTGCATGCACATGAAAGCTCATACCAATAACAAACTTAGTTGGTCTCCAAGATGCTACTGGAAGGAATTGTTTTTATTTTTTATTTTGTTTCGACTACGGCAGACCAAAACGGCTACCTACCTGTAACTAGAACTCCATTTATATTGTTCATTCTATTGGGCATTTAAAACAATTGTTGTGATTCCACGCTAGCCATATGAAAAAAAATGTTCATGGGAGGTAGTTACTGGAAGAAGGAATACTGGATATGAATACTGTTTCATAAGGGGCTGCATTATTCCTGCTTATGCACAATGAACGATTTCAGGTACAGAAGATTAATACCTTCAGATGTGTTACTGAGCCCACACATACTAGATATTTCTAAAGAATAGCAGAACTGTTAGAACAAGCCATTAGTATCTCCATCCTTTATATAGCAGTTTCCTATTCTACAAGGACAGGTGCCGCAATCATTACACTACCTTTGTACTAACTTTTATTTATGTAAACTTCCAGATTACCATTTCCATTCAGAAGTTCATGGTTACTTGACAGTTAGCAAAGCTCAAGTCAACAGTTGGAATATTCCAGGACTTACCTCCCCACAATTAATTTAATAGTGTTTGTGCAGACTCCATTCAAAGCAAGAGCCAAGGAAACAGCTAAAAAACAAAATGAAACAAGAACATAATAACCCAGAACCACAGCATACAGAGCCAGATTCAAGTCAGTTGTTGCACTAGTGCAACAGGATATTCCACCCCTCTCCTCTCCACATTCCCTCCCCAAATCTGTTCAAGAAGGTCAGAAGAACTCTCAGAATAGAGAGGGGAGATCATCCCTCCTGGCAAGCAGAAATGCTTGCACTGAGGGAACAATCTCCTTAGCATGATGTTGAATTCCAACCATACATTTTAAGTGTTCAGTATGTTGAGAACTCAGAAATAGATTGAAATAAGAGTCTTCAGTAAGGTTAACTCATAGCTTGTAAATATTCAAAGTGTGTGTGTGTGTGTGTGTGTGTGCTCGAGCGTGTGTGTGTGTGTGTGTGTGTGTGTGTGTGTGTATCACCCTTCAAAAAATCACAGGGTGGTTTACAATCTAAAATATTGTATACAGGCTATTTCAGAGAACCCACACTAAAATCAATGAGCAAGTTAGTCATTTCAGTAAATCTCCTCTGAGTATGACTTACAGTAGTCAGATACAACTCAAATACCCAATTGTCCTTGGTTTTCTTGCATCGTGGGTTTGTGTCTTAAAGTTGCCTCTTTATTGGTGAGATAGATGGTTTTGTGGTGGGCTCCAATTACACATATAGCACTGATGGAGCTCATAAGGCTCCTGATTTCTTTAGCTCTACCTCAATAAGAGATCTTCTGGGGTACGTTGGGTAGTCCCCCACACTCCTGAGGTTTGGTCAGCCTTTAACAGGGACTGAGCCTTTAGTGTAACTGTCAAATGCCTTTACCAACAGAGGTGTGGCAGGAGTCATCCATGCTTTCTCATCTTTTAAACACTGGACTGCTTAGCAGGTCTTTAAAAGTCTCATTGTTTCTCCAACCAGCTTTTATCAAATGTTACTGTTCTTGTGCCATGTTTTCAGGTTGCATATCACCTTGCTAGCTTTCCTATTAAAACATGGTTTATAAATATCTAAATAAAGTAACACTACTAACCAATTAGGAAGCTGGGTTGTGATTACAAAGTTACACTGGGAAGGTCAGCCTTGTTCTGAGTCAAGGAGATAAGAGGAAAGTGGACAGGAGAAAGCAAATGGGTCCCAACAAGCCAGCAATCAAAGAAGCAACAACCGATAGCAAAAGACCATCTAGGAATCTTCCATCCAACCAAAAGGACAAGCAGGGGATGTTGGTCAGTTCATTAGCATCCAGAAAAGTTATACAGAAAACTGCCAAGTGCAGAGACCTACAGATCCTTAAAAGCGAAAGAAAACTTCTCCCCAACTGCCTTGTGGCTTTGATTAAAAAGCATCCTACAATATTTTGAGATAGATCACTCAGGCGAGACTTGCTCCATGAGGTCTTGTGTTTTGTTTTAAACAGGCATCCCCAAACTTGGCCCTCCACATGTTTTGGGGCTACAGTTCCCATCATCCCTGACCACTGGTCCTATTAGCTAGGGAAGATGGGAGTTGTAGTCCCAAAAACATCTGGAGGGCCGAGTTTGGGGGTGCCTGTTTTAAAATCTCATGATAGCTCTCTAATTCAAGGTGATGATTTTAAAAGGCCACACAGTGAGACTTATGTATATTTTGAACTAACTACACCTGGAATCTTGCATATCCAGTGGCATGAAGACTGCGCTAGTATGAGAGAAAAGCCCACCAATAGCTTAGTATTCCCCATCTTTGAGCAAAATATGTGTGGCTTCTCACTTGTCATAGTATTCCAGTGGAGTTCTTGCTCAACAACAAGTTATTTCGACTAGTATAAAAAGGCCTGTTTATGCAATACTAATTAAAGAACAGCATTTCATGGCCTCTGTTAACAAACTTATAGGGCTTTGTTACTCAGTGTTCCTTTCTGCAGAGTCATAGCACTGTGCAACACTGTTTTTTTTAATTATTATTTCAATAGTCTTTATTGTAAAACAGTCAGGTCACAATACTACGTCCAGACCATTCTGCCAGATATGCAAGCTACAATGCTTGACAGGCAGAAAGGATCAGTTTTAGTAGTATACTTGAGAAGTGAATAAAGTTAGGTGGCAAGGAAGCACAGGGTCATCCAGCAATTATCTGAAGTCATTCAATTGTCCTGAAAACTTCTGAACAATCATTTTTTAAGGGTTACTTGCGTCTCAAAGAATTTATTGGAAATGCAAGAATGTCGCAGCACAAGTCTGTGGTATTACCTTGAGATGCTTCTGGTTTGAGGAGCCAGAATTAAATCAAGGTGTTGCCGTATGAATAGCATTCTTTCACACTTTATGCGCCAGCAGAAAAGTGCTGGACAGCTCCTAAGAAACAGCTTTCTTGTGTAGAATGTGGCAAGGCACTTCACACTTTCGTGATTGAAAGTATCCTTTTTTGCAATAGAGGTAGACAACCCAAGTAGCTACAGTGCTGGAAGGGTCAAAGTTGACATTAAATATGTGCCATTCCAAGGAACAAGTTCCATGAAACAGCTTTGCAGCTGGTATGAAGAAAATAACTATGAACGGTAAATGAGCAGGGATGCCAATAGTTTTGTGGTGGAATTGGAACTCTTCCACCCACAGTTCTTGTTTATGTTCACACTTCAAATGACTCAAGTAGGTACCTTGAAATAGTGGCATGAGAGTACGTCCTCAGTGACTGCTCAAAGCAAATGTGTCTTTTTCCTCGTGTAGCATTTGGAGAGGCCATAAAGATTTGCTAAAAAGCAAAGCCACTGAAAAGGCTAATGTAATAGGAAGGGACATGTAACTCTGGTGGTCTGGGCAAAATAGAGTGGAAAGGGGTAGAAGGGAGGGAACTGGTTTGATGGAGTGTAATGGGAGGTGACTAGATCTTTCCAGTCCCCAGTTGCCCACAGGCTACTTTGACAGGTGATGCCACTAGCATGATAGCTGCTTTGGCTTCAAATGAAAGAGTACAACCCTTTCTTCCTTAAAATCAAATGACACCTGCAAAGGAAGATCCATTTTATTCCCAAGATTAATTCAAACTGGGGATACATAGGAAGATTTGGATTCTAAATGAATTCCTGGATTTTTTGTGTACACACCATGTGCAGGGATCCTTAAGGCTTTCAGAGGTTGCTGAAATAATAATTTATTATTATTATTATATTATTATTATTATTATTATTTGTATGCCACTCTGGGTGGCTCTCAACAGAATATTAAAAGCACGATAAAACATCAGACATTTAAAACTTCCCTAAACAGAGCTGCCTTCACACGTATTCTAAAAGTCAGATAGGCATCCAATTCAAAAAGCAGAGTGTGTTGGCTGCAAACAAAGACTCGAGAGTGTACTACAAGTTCTTTTGTCTTCACTGCAGCTTCAAGTTTCAAGCCATGGCTTGAACGTTTATGTGCCTGGTTATCATATATGATCCTGGGAAAGGTTGCTGGGCTTAGCCTAAAACTGCCTGGCAGTCTGAATGATAATATAAGGCTTTGGTGTGGGGCTCACTTAGAAAGTTTAGAAATCTCTCACTCTTTCTCTTTAGATCAATTACCACAAGAAGAAATGTAGGCTTCTTCCAAATAGCTGCAGCAGAAATTCAAGCACGCACACCGCTGCTCATCTCCCCAAGGACAGAAAGAAACACTATTTAATACAACCTTCCACTGCCACATAGCTTTCGCCCACTCCTCTCACCTTTGCCTGTTCTTTACTGCTCTATCAGTAATTTCTGCTGACTTTAAGGTGCCGGAATGAACACAGGTTTCAGGAGGAATAAAAGCTCTTGTCTAACAAAGCCCAGGAAATGTTGGTTGTTTTTGTTTTACTTTTTCTTTTAAAGGTATAAGAACATTTGACACATGCTTCCTGAAAGAAATAAAAATGTTCCTCCCACATTTTCTGAGAGCAATAGCTTTCCGATAAAAAACAAATAAAAAAGCAAGAATATGATTTTCAGTTTACCTAAAAAAGCTTCCTTAATTTCAGTCTTGTCTGTCCGTCGAATGATTTTCACCACAAAAATGACAGCCAGAGGTGTCAGGAATGAAATGGCCTATGAGAGAGATATAAAAAGGCATCATTTGTTACTGCATCTTCTCTCCATCAGTCCCATGGAATCAATAATTTCCAGTTAGCTTCATTTAGATGATCTGGCTGAATTATCTCTGGCAAGTTCCCTAGATTAGAGCAAAGCTGCATGATCACTATCTGTAGCCAAATAGCACACATGCTTAAAAAAAATAAAAATTAAAAAATCAGAGGCTTAGTTCTGAATCTTAACTGATATATAAATCGCTTGGAGCCCTACTTAAAATGTGTCAGCTAAAAGAGGACAGATTACTAAATTGCAGATCAGCAGTGTTTCCCAGAAATAGCTATACGGTTTGTAAGCCCCAAATGTGTGGAATCTCTGTGTGTACATGACAGTCTAGTGTGTACCTCATGGTAAACCATAGTTAATGGTTTCCCATGAGCACACCAAACTGGGTACTTGCACTACTTCCCAATCACACCAGGGAGAAATAAGCCATGATCCCTGTTACAGATAGGTAGCCGTGTTGGTCTGCCATAGTCAAAACAAAAAAAATTCCTTCCAGTAGCACCTTAAAGACCAACTAAGTTAGTTCTTGGTATGAGCTTTCGTGTGCATGCACACTTCTTCAGATACACTGAAGAAGTGTGCATGCACACGAAAGCTCATACCAAGAACTAACTTAGTTGGTCTTTAAGGTGCTACTGGAAGGAATTTTTTTTGTTTTGACCATGATCCCTGGTTAAGTATTATGTCCAACCCAGGGAACATGATTTGTTTTTCTCCAACAAACCAGAATGAGTAAGCCAAGAACAAACATTGCCTACATTTTGTTGTTTGTTGGGTTTGGATAAACTCTAAGGCAAGGATCATGGTTGGTTTCCTCCCAACACAAGCTGGAAAGCATGGGGCAGAGTGGCATTTGGTGTGGATCAGGAACTGCAGACAGAAAGGAAATCAGCAGCCTCCTTAGGCTTGAGCATGAGCTTCCATGCATCCTTGATGTGTGGGTTTATTGCCTGGTATGTAATGCACCTAAATGTTTGCAGCATCAGGATCTATTCCGATAGATAGTATACTATAAAAATAATGTTGCAAAGCTAAGCAGTAAACTAGCCTGTATGATTTTTGCATTCTCTTAGGAAGCAAGGAATCCCTTGCTGCCATAGACAAAGCAAAGTTTGGCACAAGGATGTCAAGGCAGTTCATATTGCTTTGAATAGGTTTTCATGCTAGTGATATACAAAAATGCAACCTAGTGTTCTTGTTGTTGTTGTTTTAAAGCAACTATGTTGTTGACCCTGGTACCACTAGGATGCCAGTGTAATTAACTGGCAGAGTCAGGTAGTTATTACTTTGGGGGCGGGGGAGCAAGCAGACTATAAGGGATGCTAAAAGACCAACAATAAAACAATTCTTTAAATACATTAATAGCAGAAGGCTGACTAGGGAGGGGGCCGGATCCTCTAATGGAAAGGAAGTCAAAGGTATGCTAAAGGAGACTAAGGAGATTGTGGAGAAGCTGAATGAATCCTTTGCATGTGCCTTCACAACGGAAGATATAGCGCAGATCCCAGTGTCTGAACTAACTTTTGCAGGAAGGGAGTCTGAGCAACTGAGGGAAATGGTGGTGACAAGAGATGATGTTCTCGGCCTAATAGACAAAATTAAAAATCACCAAACACCAGATCCAGATGGCATCCATTCTTAAAAAACTCACATTTGAAATTGCTGGTTTTCTAATGAAAATATGTAACCTGTCCTCAAGATCAGTCTGTATAGCTGAGAACTGGCCAATGTAATACCAATTAATAAAAGGGGGATCCAGAGAAGATATGGGAAATTTAAGAGCAGCGAACTTAACATCACTTCTGGGAAATCTGATAGAAAGCATTATAAAAGATAAAATTATCAAGGCATGTTCAAGAAGAACAAGTCTTGCTGAAGCAGGGCCAGCATGGTTTCTGCAAGCGCAAGTCCTTTCTCACTGTCCTATTAAGTGTTCTTTGAGAGTTTCAAGAAGCATATAGACTAGTTGCCGGAAACCACAGGAAGGTAGAGTGCTCTGGCATTCAAATCCTGCTTCTTCATTTCCCACAAGTATCTGGTTGGCTACTGTGAGAACAGGATGCTGGACTAGATAGGCCACTGGCCTGATCCAGCAGGATCGTCTTATGTTCTTATGTTCTGTTCCTTGTTAACAAAGGGATTAGAGATCCACAATGTTCAGCCACAATGTTTCTGTGCAATGGCATGGTGTGTGTGGGGGGGGGGTTCTACTTGGGCTCAGTTCCCCAAGAATTGACAGTGTTCCTGTTCTTGCTTCCAAAAAATAAGGGAATGGGCTGATTTACAGTCCAGAGGTCTGGTAAGTGGAAATGCACGGGGCCTTGTCTGCTGTGAAATATGCCACTGCCCACAGCTTCCATCACTCTTATCACAAGCCTCATAAGCTTCATTAGTGCTGGGACACTGCAGCCATTCATCATTTCAACTTGTTCCTGCCACTCTCACAGAAAGGATTATTTTTGTCTTGAGATGGGATTACGATATAAAATGTAAGTCTAAATTCAAAAGGCCCAATTAGTTGGAACAAGACTTACAGTGAAATCCTATGTATGTTTACTCTGAAGGAAGTCTCACTGCATTTAATGGGACTTACTCCCAGATAAGCATGTATAAGACTTTCCTTATACATACGGTAAGTTCTGGAAGCCTTCTCCATTGCTGCAATTATGTAGGCTCCACACATCACAAGTTTGCACCTGTGTTTACCATCCAGTTACCATATACACCATGACACAAGAGAACCTCATAGATGCATGTGCGTGCATCTTTTTTTAAAAAATATTATTATTCCAAATGTTTGCAGGCTGTTAAGGGGGAAGAAACTTCTGCCTCTTCGGTCTCTTATTTGTATAAAGAATTGCATTCTACCACATTCAGACAAATGAGCCTGTCTTTGATTATCCCTTGGATAAATGCGTTTGGTGAGTTAGCTTTTCCAAAATGGCTATAAATCATATTTTTTAATGCTATAAATCTTTAAGCAACCTGTGTTTGTGTATATAATTGAGATTGGATTTTGAGCTGTGTATACTAGCGGTGTGGCATCAGCTCTGTGTGTTTGTATGAATAACGTGAGGTGATCCATGTTAACAAGGCGTGTCGAGGTGGATCAGAGAGTTCCCAAACTTCTGAGAGGCTCTGCTGACTTTTTCCTCCTTTTTTGTACATAAAGTCAACCTCTCAGCTCCCTACCCACTGCCTTACTTTGCTTTCCCGAGAAATGAAATGAAGCTGACTAGGGAAATGTCAAGCAGTCAAGAAAGAAAAAGTTGGGTCGTTTGTTTTGACAAGCAGGTCTACCTTTTAATCACAATGAATTATTCTCCCAGTGAACTCCAATCAAAGTTATTTAGGGGAGGGATACTGAAGGAAACACACAGATCCTCCTCCTTATAATTTTGGCTGGGAAAGCAGAACAAAAGTGGTTGGGTTAAACTATGGGGGTGACCTGCTTTCACACACCCCCCCATCATTCTTTTTTTCTCTCTTACAAACAAAATCATAGCACTTTGTTTTTTCTTCATGGAGGGTACTTCCAGGAAGAGTGATGAGAAAAAAAAACCCCTAACTTTTCAGGGATTTTTTTTACTTCAAAGGTGAAATCACTGAGCACAATAGCCAGTGGACCTATTTCTCCAGACTTTTGTGGCTTTGGTACCCAGGCACCATGTATGACTGTTCCCTCATGTCCCCAGTTTTCAAAATGATTGCCCAAAACAATGTGAGAGACGGAATGTGTCTGCTATTTTCTCATCCTCAAATGGTAAAAGTCTGCCCTTGCAGGGAAATCGCTGCCACATATTTTTCTGAAATTTGGCAGGCTTCATTCCTTCAGAGAGCATCCAATTCTGGCAGAAAATAGAAGAGGCTAAGTCTTTTTAAAAAATACATAACAAAACACCAACACATAAATGCCCTGATAAATTTGTTTGAAATTTGGCTGGCACAATCCACTCAGGAAGGGTTCCTTTGCAAGCAAATGTCAACCACTTATGTGTAAAGAGGGAAAAGTTATAGCCTTTTTAAGATTCCACATTATAGCCAACAGGGCCAAAACAGAGCTTTGTATTTAACCAATCTGACTGGGACCCAAATAACAAATCAAATTGGAATGACACAAAGCAGATTTGAAACAGATTGGGCTGTAGAACCGCTCCAGGTATAGGACGGTATATAAATCCAGTAAATAATAATAAATAATAGAACGCTACAGATACAAGGCTAATCATGTGATTGCTGCACACACCTAGCATGTGCATGCATACAGTGGCGTAGCGTGGGGGGTGCAGGGGGGGCCGGCCGCACCGGGCGCAACATCTGGGGTTAGGGCAAATCCACAGGTTAGGGGGCGCAAATCCACGGGTTAGCGGGCGCAAATCCACGGGTTAGGGGGCGCAAATTACTTGCCTTGCCCCGGGTGCTGCCAACCCACGCTACGCCACTGCATGCATATGAGACTAGTAACACCAGCATTTCCTGCAGCAACCATGATTTGCGAAGATGACCTCAGTAATGTGAAGTGTGGAGCTGCCCTTGCACTAAAGAAAGCTGCTCAAAAGGTATTCCAAGCAGGTTAAAACAGGTCTCCTAGCCACCAGCAATCATACACAATGCCCTCTCCTGAGTTCCTATTAATATATGTGGGAATTCACAGAACATTTCCCTCTGTTGTTCTTTAAACTGCCTGAGGGCTGAACTACACATTATTGCAGTAGATCTGTGGTTGGCTGTCCAGGTGCTTTTCCTTCATTAAAGAAAAGAAGCAGCCATGTGGGGATGGGCTGCCAATTTGTCTGGAGCACATAAAGGTCCTGATAATTTTGATGGGCTTCCCTTTATGTGGGACATGATTAGAGCTCCCTGTTCTCTCCCCCCCCCCTTTTTTTTAATGAAATGTAGTCGTAGAGCAACACTGCCAATTTGTTGAGAGCAGCAGGTTCAATACTTCCCCCTGAAGATTTCCCACTCAAAAATCCTCCCCCTCCGGTGGGTGTGTGAACTCAACAGTGCTTAGTTTATCTTTTGGTTGCTATTTTGTTGATGTTGTTAATACTGTTCTATAGATTGTAAATGCGGTGTTGACTCGTTAATCATATGGCATGACTTTTGCTTTAATTGTGATTGTGACATTCAGCTTATTATTTTTTTAGTTGTTGCTTTGTTAACAGAGTTTTATAAATTGCAATTGTTTCACTGATGATCTGTTACTCTATATGCTTTATGCTGTATTTGTGATGTTCCATTTTCTTATTATTATTTATTGTTTGTAAGCCACTTTGGGACTCATTTGAATGAAAAAGGGGCATAGAAATATTAAAAATCAGATCAATTAAAGCAATCAATGGTAAGCTACCTTAAATCTTTTTGTGACCTGTACCATCTTTCCCCTATGTATCTTCCTTTCCTTTCCTTACATAGTATCAGATTTGCTGTCCTTTGTCTTAACTATGCTATTTTCCAGCAACAGAGATCCCTGCATGCTTGTCCCCTCCATTAACTGCTATAGCAAAGCCCCATCTTTACAAATTAGCCACCTAAGGTCGCCTAATGTGGAGAGCCAGTGTGGTGTAGTGGTTAAGAGCGGTGGACTCGTAATCTGGTGAACCGGGTTTGGTTCCCTGCTCCTCCACATGCAGCTGCTGGGTGACCTTGGGCTAGTCACACTTCTCTGAAGTCTCTCAGCCCCACTCACCTCAAAGAGTGTTTGTTGTGGGGGAGGAAGGGAAAGGAGAATGCTAGCTGCTTTGAGACTCCTTCGGGTAGTGATAAAGCGGGATATCAAATCCAAACTCTTCTTCTCTTCTTCTTCTAACTCCAAGGTCAGTTCTAGCCCTGACAGCAACCAACTCATAATAGCATAATGAATAAGAGTACTTTGTGTTTATGCGCACCCAAAAAATGTAATTATAAATACAATGCTATGGTGTGCAACTCTAAAACATTCTTCTGTACTCCACACACCCCCTTCAAGAGCCAAGGCTAGGGTAATTGGTTGTCTTTTACAAGTTGTTATCTCTCCTAAAAATCAAATCCATAAAATAATCCTAGATGAGATCATCTCTATATAATTCTAGGTAATGTTTTCTGTCCTGCCAGTGACATTTTCCTGGATAGTGGCTGCTTTCATGGGCAAGACCTTCTTAAAATCAAGCACATTCATTATCTATCCTGGCAGCTGAAAGATACAGAGCTGTACAAACCTTCCAGAAAAGCACTTCATGCCCTCTCATTACTTCAGGAAAACCCACTATCAGATAAGATTTAATGTGTGTGCTGAAAAATATTGATTTTCATTTAGGGCCACCTGGATAAAATTTTTCCTGGATAATATTTTTAATAGGTGACTGCTGTACTGATACATCCCCCCCCTTTCCTTTTAAACAAAAAAGTCAGTGGACAACTGGGCAGTCTTACTGTTATGAAATGAAAGGAAGCCATGTTTTGCTCCTGAAGTGCAGAACAACACATCAGTATACAGAATTTGCAAGATTTTACCTCCCTCTCCAATCAGAGAGTAGATTCATACCTATCTACAACACCCAAGTACAAAATGCTTATGGCCCATGCCAGAAGTGAGGGGCACACTATGTGTTAGGAGGGCTTGGACCAAAAACAGGCCTAATCTTTTCCCAGTTGACAACTTGTGTTTGTTAAAGAGAGAAGTGCCATGAAAAAAAACGTATGCATGCAGAGCTGACCTCAAACATTTGGCCATCTGAGGTAAAGGACAAGATAGTGCCAGCCATTCTGTGTACAGAAGACAACATGATTGGCAGTTCAATATTACTTCAGTGCTGGTGACAGGATCTTGCCCATACAGGCTATTTTTTGGGTGAGGAGGGTGCTACATGGTGCACTCAGCTCTGATCTCTAACAGAACAGAATGAGTGGTGATTCAGGATGAATGGCTATAGGGCTGTCCCTGGCATATATTCTACCTGAGGTAATCACCTCACTCTGCCTAATGGTAGGGCTGGCCCTGAATGTATATCCTTTGCAGCAACCTCAGCTATGCATGCGCCTCATGAAAGGTTAAGGAACACAGAACACTTCTGTTCCTTTTCAATAGGAATCCAGAGGACTGAATCCATGTTGCAGAACTTGTCTGAGCAATGTCAAACCAAAAAAAAAGAAAAGCTAGCCTGCCTGCTCAATAAATCCATTGGTGCTGAAAACAATTATATACTTCAGGCCTACTGGCTGGCGCTGAACTTATAGCAGTCCCACATCTCACATGGCAAATGCATGTGGTGCATACAGTATGGGCTGTCATCTCCCTCAGCAAACAGGTTTGCAGTACACAGCAAGGTCCTCCAGCTGTAAGACACCAAACTGACTTGGTAATATTGCCTGGAAAGCCAGATAGCATGATGGCACAGAGTCCATGAAGAAAAGCAGGGAACCCTCTAGCATTCTGGCCCAATCCCTGTTAGAATTACTCTACTGCCATCTGCACTGGGAAAAGATCAGAACAGTAGGCTAGACAGACCATCAGGCTAACTGCTGCAAGGATGCTTTTTTCCTCTCACTCCTCCAAGGAAGCGTAGATGGCAATGATGAAACTGACAAGTTGGGGAGGAGATGTGGTGGATATTGAACAAGAGATGGGTGTTTAGCAGCAACCATTTGAGTTCCAGAAGCCTGCTTTGATTTACAACCACTATTACATCAATATTTAAAATGCTTTGGGATCCATGTTTACCTGACACAGGGAAAGCAGACTGGCACCAACAATTTTGGTTGCAGGCAGACATTTTTCTATTTCCTGGGGCATCTGAACAGCACCAATGATATGATATTGTATGGTTAAATCTATTTCAAATAATGCTCTTGCAATACACACAAACACACACAATCTTTGGTTGTAAATCAGTTTTGGAACTTCTGGAGAGGGAGTGATATATAAATTGAACAAACCTAATTTGACTGGCAGTCAACAATTTATAAAATGAGAACATCAATCAATCAGAATTTGTGACAGGGTGGCTTAAAGAAATGTCATACTGTCCTTCACCCCAACATGCAAATAATATCATGTTCCATTTATTTTCTCACTGCAGCCTGCGACCGTAACTGTTCTTTTAAAAATGCACTCATTTCCAGTTTCGCTTAGCTAACACACAGTCATCAAACAAGCCTCACACAGCCGTCAAACAATCATTAAATCTCTAGTACTTACAAACATGAGGCGTGTAGGTATGTTGTCAGATTCAACCAAAGGGTTTTTATAGAGCCAGATCTCTTCTGGCTGAATAACTCTCTGGAATGGATCCAAAAATTCTGTAAAACTAAACAAAACAATAAAAGAACACATTGTTTCACCATGTACCTGGAGCAAGAGACCTGAAAAAGTACATCACGGGAGATTCCCGCTTGCCATATTGAAAGAGAGACATTGTTTAATCAAGTGCAAGCAAATACAAGGCAGAAAATGTTTGTTTATCTCCCTTCTTACCCTTACCCATCTCTAGAGTCCAGGGTGAATTCTATATTACAATACGCAAACAAAGACATAGCAAAATAAAACCAGACTAAGAAAACAGAAGACATATTATAAGTTGTATCCAATGAAGCTGTTGCACTTGTGCAATAGAACTTCCCCTCCTACCCCCAGCAACCTCTCATTGAACACCCTTAAAATTGGTTAGGGGATTCTCCAGAGCAAATTTTAACAGTTTGCAGGAAAAGTAGAAGAAGTGGAAGCCATGTTACATGAATGGTACTCCACTCACTGCTTTATATCTCTAGTTCCTTATACCATACAAGCTGGAGTTTTCCTCACACCACTGTTGTCCAAAATGAAAAGGTTTCAGCAGCATGAAGAAAAAAACCCTGAGTTATGTGGTAAACTTACAAAGCAGTGACAGACAGTATTTGGAGCAATGAGTCAAAGACAAAATGCCTGAAGTATTTTATTGTTGCCCAACACACTTTGGAAAATAACAAATTTGTTCTTCAGGAACAAACTTCCCCATCAGCAACCTGCGAAAATATAGTACTCTAGCTTTCTCCTTTGCCGAACTGTTAAGGAGGATTGTCCCATTGAAGAAATCTCTTGTTTCCAAAATTTGTTGGGCAGCAATATAATATTTTGGACCTTTTCCTCCACTTGCTTCCCCTTTGTTTGGCCTTAGAGAGTACAGTCGTGCCTCAGAAGTTAAACGGAATCCGTTTTGGAAGTCCGTTTGACTTCCAAAACATTTGGAAACCAAAGCGCAGCTTCCAATTGCCTGCAGGAAGTTCCTGCAGCCAATCGGAAGCCACAGAAGCCCCATCGGACATTCGGCTTACAAATGAACGCTCGAAAACCAGAGCACTCACTTCTGGTTTTTGATTGTTCGGGAGCCGGAACGTTCAACTCCCAAGGCATTCGGGAGCCGAGGTACTACTGTACTTGGAACTACCTGAAGAGTTTCCACAGGGCAACCATAACATGTAAACTGACCCCCAAGAGGCGCACATCTGTCAAAGCTGCCACAAATGGCCACACATAGAAACACAGGAGCCTGGCTTAGGTTGAGTCAGACCACTGGTCCATCTAGCAAAGTCATTGTCTACATTCATTGGCAATGGCTCTGCAGGGTTTTAGGCAAGGCTCTGGCCAATCTAGAGATGCTGGCAATGGAACTTGGGACCTTGTGCATGCAAAGCAGATTCTCTGCCACGCAGCCACAGCCCTTCACACTCATGCATCTCAGATCTGCAAACCAATGGCGGGCACAGCAACAGTGGGTGTGGCCCAACAGACACAACTCTTCGTTCTCTATCCAAGCAATCAAGAGGTATTATCACAGATCAGGGACACAGGCTAGTCAGGTTAAATACGGTAACTAGAGGAGGGTCCAGGGCCAAAGAGGACTGTATTCCTGGAGTGGTATAACCTGGACTGAATTCTATAAATCCCTGGAAAACTACGTTCACTCTCTGGGGCTGAGATTCCCCACCTGTGATCTCTTTGTTTCCCTCCTACCTCCCAGTCTTGCATTGGATGGGTGAAAAACCTATTAAAAGATGTGTTCAGAAGCGTTTTTGAGCAGGCTGGCCTGCACAACCTGTGGCCCAGCAAGCCAACGTGACCCAAAGACTCATTCAAAATACTGGGTTTGCTACCTTTCTGGGAATGCAAAAGCAAAGGATGAGGCATTGTCATGCATCTGACATGCTGCATTCGGCATGCTGCATTCGGCATGCCAGCTCATCAGTTTCTTCAGGCCTACGTTACCTTTTGTTTTATAAAGAAAAAGTAAATGTAGTCACAGCAACAAAATCCACTGCATTTAAATACTGTCAGATTGCTTCCTTCTACATTTCCTCTTCCCTCTATGTAAAATGTTCAAATTATGTCTTTCAGCCATATGCGGGGGAGGGAGGGAACAGGCAAATTAACCTGATGAAAGCGAACAATAATCAACTAGAGTCACAACAGAAAAAGAAACTCCTGCTGAAGACTTGGCTGCAAATCCAAAAAACGAAACAGCACCACCACCCCTCCCGTCAAAAGACCAGATGTATTTCATGCTGTTTGTCAACACTTGTGCAGATATGAACTCAGTAGTACAGTGGCTCCTAAACTCTACAGACCAATTATTGGAGGTCTTGGCAGACCACTTTTTTGCCTCTTTTTTAAGCATTTGTAGTGCACTGTGCTAGATACCAAAGTCATCACTGGGGGCCTGAATGAAGCTTGTGGAGCCCTAGTGGTCAATGGACCTCATTTTGGGAACCTCCGCTGTAGTATATGAATTATCACCTACCCTGCAATCCCTGCCCCCCTCATCAGCAAAGGGCTGTTCAGAAGGTGCAAATAATTCCTAAAGACCTATTTATACGTACAGGATTTCCCTAGCTCATAGCATACATTGCACTCCTCTGTTTTATTGATGTTGTTGATGGATTCTTTGTTTTTTCTGATGTATTTCTTTGTATTTTAAGCTATAATGTGTGTGTGTGTGTGTGTGTGTGTGTGTGTGTAAAATTATTCTGTTTTAAGTAAACCCATTTAGGGATTTCTTATATTAGGAAGTCTATAAATATTATTAGTAAAATAAACAAATTAGGTTTTGAGAAAGAGCTCGTACAAACAGAATAATTTCTCTGGATTTAGGGTTATTTTTCTCCCATTATGCTCTTCCACGTGGTCAGAAACAGCCCTTCCATGATCAGAAGAGGCTTTCTGCTAGCAGAAGGGGGATGTTTGGATCCAAGCCATTATGTTTTAGCAAACAGGAAGCTGTTGGCTGCCAATGTAAGCAAAGGGTTTTTTTCTCTAATGAAAAAGAAGTCACAATCACCTTTTCCCCCTCTTCTGAAATATCATAAGTAAACCTGTCGTATCTATGGCTCAGCACTACCAGCAACTTTGTGTGCAATTCCTGAAGTGGCCATTTTACAATCTACACACACACACACACACACACACACACACACAGTGTGTGTATGTTATAAATCTGTGCCATCAAATTACATAACATCCATTCAGAAATTAATTTGATCAGGGGATCACCCAAAAAGGCTAATCCTAACTAGGTTTTCTGAGCAAGAGCTTCTTTCCAGAACATGCAGCATAATTAGCCATTTCATTGAGCACATTTCCATCTGTCATCCCCAATGCACACCCATGAACTCCATGCAAAATAAATGCCATCAGAACCAAATGCCAAATTCTGAACCAAGAAGTTGGTTCAAAGTTACTGTTTGCCTCAATCAAGTATGTTCACATTTTGCTTTCATTGCACCATTTACTCTACTTTTTCTTGTCACTGGAAGGGGGGGGAGCTCTGGGAGTCCTATAGTGAAACCCTTAGTACAACAAACACCCTCTGCCAAACACTTCACAGGGATCGAAAGTCTATGGCAACAGCTGTATCACAGTATTAAAGATGTAGCAACCTTGTAGTTGTGGCTGGAACTTTGGGCTTAACCACATCTCCATTTGCCCTGTTAATTTCCCCCAGAAAAACCCATTGTTTAGTACTGAATCGGAACCAACAGCAATCACATTTTCCACAAAATTGCCTTTTGTTCTGATTTAGTGCTAAAGGGCGGGTTTTTCCTGGGACAAGCAGCAGGGCAAAGCCAAAACTGGTGGAAATGTGAACAAGCCCTAAGCAAGAAAGAGTCAGGAGTGCAGACTGCAGTTTCCAGAAGACATTTCCAAAGCAGCCATCAAATCGTGAAACCCAAATATTGAGTTTGGCAAAGTCAGTTGTTATTGCATCTGCAGGATCAGTGAAGAGGAACACATCTTTGAGTATGTGTTAAGTTGCTGATAGTATAGGTGAATATTTGTTGTTGGGCGGGTTTTATTTCTTTTGCACCAGGCTCCAGTTAGTGGCTCTTGGGCTTCTAGTAAAAAAAAAAAAAGTAGTTTTCATAAGTTTGAAGTGTCTCTTCCCTCTCCTCATTCTCTCTCTCTCACACACACCAGAGTTCCTTCAGGAAAGTTCAGACAAAGATTACTCCCAAAGACATACCGGAAAATATTTCAACAGACTTTCACAAAGGAAAGTCTGGCCTGTTTTTCTTTTTTTCAGTGAAAATAGGAAGGTCTTTGTATTTCATCCAGAATCTCCAGTCCAGAATACCATATGTAGGCTTCCAGCTATATATCAGTCATCAGAAACAAAATACTTACCCTGGTGTTCTTTCTTTTTGCCCTATTCTGTACAGTTTGGCATAGAAATGTGTATTTGCTGAAGGCTATGAGCAAACATTTCAAATCTAAAGCTATGATACAGGTGCCAATAAGCCAATGGAACAATATTTGCTGACTTTTAGTGCTTTTTAATGAGACTTTCCCAGAGAACAGAGTTTTCAGAAATACCACTGGAAGTCAAGATTGCCACATTTTATAAAAATTGGTTCAGGTTTCTGTGCTTTTTATTTTATGCTTTGCTGGAGGACCCAACGTGAAAGGTTTTAGACTCAGACCATTGTTAAGGGACTGGCTTGGATAAGTTTGTTAGATGAACCAGTGAGGACAGATATCTGATTTCTTCCATATAATTGATGTTTCAATTATTTAACAATCAGAAGGTAGCTTTAGCATTTATTTCATCATATTCATGTTAGCTACTTCACACAATGCTCCCAGCCTCAGTCTCCATCTGCCTGAGGCTGTACCTTCTTACATAAACCTCCCAGAGAGTTTACCTCCAAAATATAGCAAGCCTCTCAAAAGGATATCACCACAAATTTAACTTGAGAACGTTCTAGAGGATAAGTTTCTCAAACCTTCCTTCCTCCCACAGCCACCTGCAAAGTGAGGCCATCTGTGAGAGGATGCACA